TTGTACAGTAAAACCTTGTTTATTCAACCCCCGCTAATTCGTAAATTCGGATAATTTGAACTGCCGATCCGGTCCCGTCAAACGTATGTATTAATCAATGGCAGCAAACGCTCATTAATTCGGAGGGAACGCGGCGCATTATGGTTAATTCGGACAAATTCGGCAGGTGGCGCTAGCTACCGTCCGTTCCAAAGGGTATGACCGCTATCCATCCGAGGCCATTTTAACAGCTATCTTATCCCTCCATTTTTCGCCGCTCTGATTATTGGTCAGTTGTGCTAATCGTTTTCCGTTGCAGCAGTACTAAGCTGAGAATTTAGCGACGAAAGTGGAAACACTGAGGGCCTTGAAGGACGGCGTCTCTCGACAAGTGACGGAAAGTTACGACGTCAAGAGAAGCAGTTTGGCCACATACGTGAAAATTGAGGCTGATATCGAGAGCGAGAAGTTCAACGCGAAAAGAAAGCGGCCTTGGAAGGTGGTGCACCCGAAACTAGAAGAGGCCTTGCTGTGCTATATTGTCCGCTCACGGGATGCGTAGCTCCGACAGTGCGAGTGTGGTGGAGCACTCGACCGCGCTAAGGAAAGTTGCCGTCTCCGCCCAAGTGGCATCCAGAAAGCAGGCGGTAATAACAGATTTCTTCTCAAAATAAAGGTATGTCACAGGGAAACATTTTCTCGCAGCTTTCTTTGTCCTTTCGATATTTCGACTTTCGGATAATTCTGACATTTTTGCCGGTCCCATGAGATCCGAATTAACGAGGTTTTACTGTATCTTCATTCTAACCAAAGTTATGGTAGTTCAAAGTTGCGGATTTACAAAAACAAGGTTCTTCTTGATTTGTGTAATATTTAGAATATGTTATTATTCTTTTAGAAGTTATGTTATACCCTTATTGAACCCCTTGCACATCCAGCAATAAGTCAGAAAAAGAATGATCAAAATCCAATAAATAGGAGTGGAGGTATGCTTCCCAAATATCTGGGAGGAGACAAAATTTTTATTTAAGAAAAATGGAAAAACAATTTACCACAAAGAAAGCTGAGGTAATGTACAGGAAAACAAACACTCGGAGCACATTCTGGCTTAGAATGCCCCTGGAGAGTAATCACCATGAGCCTTGTCTCGCTGCCTGCGTTTTGCGACAGTCTGGAATGCTGCTGAGGCAGCATACTTGTTCCTGGCCCTCAGAGTGTGATGACAGTCCTTTTCAGCTGCCCGCTGACTGCTCTTGCTGCTTTGATTGAGGTGCAGTTCTCAAATAATGCTTGAGGTGGCCTGTTGCCTGGTTGTAGTAAACTGTGCTTCCTTGTTCATGTTTCGAATCACCGCTTTAAAAAGTTTAGCACTACAATTGCACTTTGGCACCAGTTCGTATAAGCTTGAGGTACCTGGTGCCCACCTAACTTTGCAGCAAGGTGGAAAAAAAAATAATGATTAAAGAACAAAAATTATGTTTATGTGATTTAAGTCAGATTATTTATGATTTAAATTGCTGATAAGCTGCTCTAACATTTTCTGCTCCTAATCTGCTCTAAACTGTAGACTTTCCTTCTCTCAGTTGCTCCGAGATGCGTAAACTGCTGCTCCAAAACGAGAATCTTGTGCTCCTAAGCTGCTTCAAAATTCAGATTTTTCTACTCCAAAAATTGCTCCAAAATTTGTTTCACCTGTCTGACCCCTGTGCTCTGCATGGCATGTGCCACGAGAAGATTTATTGCGAAGCGGTTAGGTTCACTTCTCTCCCAAATCGTCGCAAGCTCCACTCGGTTCCGAGATCTCCGCAGTTGTTGCATTGCATTCACAGCTTCACGGCTATTCCAAACTCGCGCTTTTCTCTTTCAATGTTCACTGCTCCGCGGCACATACAGCATGAAGTAAATTCCAATAAACTGTTTACTGCAGCAAGATCGATGATTGTGTACGTCGCAGTCGATGAACTAGCATCCGACATCGGAGCCTGAGACTCGGTTGCGAGCGACTTCGTCTTTCGCTCCGTCGACGATGTTGAGGACAGTTGCGTAGTGATTGCTTCCGTTTGCCGCTGACGAACTTGACAGTCGGCACTCGAAAGAAACGTCGAGTCGATCCTCGTGCGTCTTGGAGGATTGCCTTCGCTCTCGGCAACAGAGACCGTTGCTACGGCGACTGTCTCGCTCGTTGACTCGCGTTCTGCCGACGGCGAGCTTCCCATCGTTACGGAGGCGCCCGAGGCCGTCGACGCTGATGTTTTCGCTTCTTTTTGCCGTTTCGTTGTACGTTTCTTTTTCTCCTTCCCGAATTTATGCACTGTCTGAAATTTCCTACGTTCCTCGTTAGGCGTAGCACGAAGCTGGTGTAGCCATTATTTTGGCAACAGGACGCCGTCCGTGTGTGGACCGGAAGTTACCGGAAGTTGCCGTGCTCCAATAAGAAGGGGTCATTTTGTCACGTGTCCGCTAAGAACCAATAGCGAAGCTTTAATATTCTTTTGGTTTTTGCTTTATATTTCCCTTATTGGCGGTGTTGAACATTCAGGCTTAGCGGGAAAGCAAACCTAACAGACACGTTTTCAAACGAGACCAACATGGCGGCACTACGACGATCCGTTTCGGAACGACTGACGACGCGAAACTGGGCAATTTTTGTGCATTTCTTTGGAGTGGTCCTCATCTTTGCAGCTGATATTTGTTTTTAACATAAAAAGGGGTTTTTCGGCATTAAAAGTTTAACATTAGATGCGGGAGAGCATAAAGAACCTAGAAATAATAAAATCTAAAAGTTGCTTTTTTCGCAATTTTTTTGTCCCCAAGACCCATGTTCCCCCTTAACACGGACTAGCCATAAATTCTGAAAGTTCAAGCAGGTAGATTTCACTGATACCCCTCCCCCCTGGCACAAGGACTCATGGAGCCCAGGTCACGTTGTAGGAAGGCTCTTTAGGTGTGGAGACTACTCTCCTCGCCCCGTCGGAACGGCGAACATCTCACGTCCCCTCCTTTCCTATGTTTTCTCCGCCTGCCCCTAGAGGGCGCCAAAACGCTCAGGCCGTCCGGTCGCCGGCCCTCCGCCAGAACGTGGGCTAGTCACCCATTGCTTACACTGCCTCTAAATGTTTCCAACTTTTTCTTTTTTTTGCAATGGTGAACCGAGCGTAAAAGAAATGTAAAAACCAAAGATCCAAATTTGGAAATAGCCGAACATTTGAATGAATGCGCCGACTGCTCTCCAGCCTGGGGAAACGTAAACATTTTAGAAAGGGAAAACAATGACATGAAAATTTTAGTAAAAGAGACGATCAGGATAAAGACGTCTGACGAATGCATTAAGTACAGAGGCCGAAAAAATTTTGCGACTGACCGGTTTGGGAGAACCGGGATGAGCTCGGGGTGTCGCAGTGTATGTGTGTTGACAGGGGATCTGTCGGCAGCTTTATGTTGGCGCCGTCTGAGCTTATCGTTGACTGGAATGTACGGAGGGCCTGGGAAAAGGAAGAGGGAATGGGGTAGAGGTTTTGGGAAAAGGAAGAGAAAAGGAGGGGGACCACAAATAAAGCTTGTAGCTGCATTTGAGCCTTCGTCCGTGTCGTTCTGTGTTTCGCCCTGTTATGAGTCGACCCCCAGCCTGGTCTCTTGGGTGGCAGGGGTATCGCTGGCGTCCAACCTTTCTCGCGAACAACGTCCTAGCCAGACAGTGGGGTAACAGATCGGGAAAACTTAACAGGACGGAAGACTAGTTTATTTACATGGTTATATCGTGTAACATATTGGCAAAAGGAGAGCACCGAATGGGCAGCGGACAGGTTCTTATATAATAAAACTCGGGGTTCTGGAGCTGCTGTGCCATTGGTCAGTTAGTGCTGCATACGAAAGCTGGCCTCGATGTCAGCAACCTCCTCTCGGCCCACATCGTACACAAGTCGGTAGCCACCGTAAAGCAAGCTGCACGCCGAGCAGGCAGCTAGCACAGGCGGCCCAGTGCGCCGCCGGATGGCCTGAAACTTACGGCGCCATCTGGGGGTGGCTGCGTGAAGCGAAGCGCGCGGGGTGTCATTATCTGGTCGCAGCGGAGAGCGGAGTCCCTACAGCTAAAGAGCCTTCCTACTCCGTGGCCCAGGTACACCCAAATCCCGTTACAACGAACTTGATTTGATATATAAACCTAAGCTCAATCCGAAACCTAAAAGCGTGTCCAAAATGAGTGTCTTTTCAGAACGCCATAGAATGGTGTACCTGTCTTACATCTTTTTTAAACGAGTTTTTTTAGTGGTTTTCAACGATGCTCAGAACGTTTCTAAGTGAAACCATAAATTTATTTTCAATTATTAAAAGGTTAATGAATAAACTTAGTCAATGTAATGAATGAGTAGGCTATTGCAATCCCTGACGTCCGTTGTGGCTGGCAGTTCGTCCCCGGAAAAAAAATTTTTTGTTCGATCGCAATATTTTTAGCGAGTTTTTGAAATTGCTCGTGGAAACACCCGCTAGACATTGCCGCCGTTCTTTGCACCTTTTGATGCTTGTGTCCTTTAAGTTAGCATTTTCTTGCCAGGCTTAACGAGCGTCCGGTTCTAGGTACACTTCACTTACGGTGGCGTTTTCTGCCTGGCAAGTGGTAACTCAGTCGAAAGTTTTCTGACATACGGCGTGAACGAGCGATTGTCAGTTTTTCTCGTCCTTTTCTCAGAATCGATTCGCCGTCATCAAAACTACTAGAGTATAGAATGCTAAAAATTTAATGCCCGCCAATACCTTACGGAAATAGAATGGGAGAAAGTGGTACGTGCGTGTGAACGGCGTTGGCCCGCTTATTCATTCCCACCGTTTCATGCTTTCGCACGAAAGTGCGACGCTGCGGCGACGGCGGAACGGGTATGCCCCTTCATTCGCGTAACACCGTGCAAAACTACAAAAAGAAATCCGAAAAAGCTTGACCCCAGTTGTGGACATCCAATTGTTCCCTCCCCTCCACGCTTAGTGCGCAGCGTCAAACTTTAGAACACTGTTTTCCGGAACTGCAGGCGAGACAGCAGCAGGCAGAGTTGGCCCAGCAGGAATGGACGCAGATGCAGCTGGCGGCGCAGCAGCAAATGCAGCTGCAGAAGCAGCTGAGCCACAACGAGGAAGACGACGACGACGACTACTGAGTCTTAACCCCAGTCCCCGGAGCGCGTCCCCGACCACGTCCTCAAGGGCGGTTTCTCGACTTCCGCCCAACGACGACATAAAATTCTCGCGCCGCCGCCTGCCGCAGTCTCTGCCATGGCAGATGCTGCGGACGCCCGTCCCGCTTTAGGTCTCTCTGGGCGAGACGGTGTACGGAAACCGAAGCAGACGCGAGACGAGACGCCGCAACAACGACCACTTTCCCGGCCGTTCTTCGCCTTTTTCGCTGGCTTTGCAGCGTCTGACCGCCAGGATGGCTACGTCAAACGGGACGACACCTCGTCTCCCGCAACCCATGTCGTTGCCACTTCGCGAACGCACGGGCAGGATGGGACAGTACGGACGCCGGTCGGACGCGTTGCAGGTGCCGTACCCCCACTTAGCCACACCCATTGTGCCATCTGTGAACGCAGTCGTTCGACCGCAACGTTGGCAACGTGGTAGACTTTTTTTTATTGTTATTTCACCGCGTCTTTTGCTTGCTACTTACATTTCTGGCCGCAAGGAGCGGTTGCGACCTCAGCTCTGCTCGGAACATGTCGACAAATGCCGGCGTGCCTGAAATCAACGAGCAGTTGTGTGGGGGAAGTGTGGGTTTTATGTGATACTTGAATGTTTGTTTCTTGTTCCTGCTTTCTGAATTTTTACTTTCCCATTTTTGTTTGTTAGCGGTTTAATATGCGTCCCGTATCGGCACTCGCGAGTTGGGATTTACTGTTACTGCGTGACATTTACTTTTTTTTAAAAGGTCGGTGTTGCATTAAGCAGCGCAGTCGAGTCGAAAGTCGAGCTCAAAAGCATTTTGGGCAATGAGTGTATCATGCGCGTTATTTGTGAGACATTTTATTTCAAGGCCCGTTGCTTCGGGAGGTTTATAAATGTGTTCCGACAAAACTCACTTAAAATGGCCCTTGTGCGTGCATTGCTTCTAAAATTGGAGCCTTGTGTTTTGTGAAGTTGGTAACGTAATTGTGTTCTCGTGTATGTAGCACATAATAAAGGTTCTACTTACTTACCCATTGTATGGAATTATGATGGGACGGAGCGGTAGTTCTTTCCCAGTCCATACATTTTGGAATTTAAGAATTAGGAAATAATCCTTCCGAAATGTTGTGGCACCAGACAGAAATTGAAAATGACACGGGCTTGACTGCTAAGGCTAACTATTTGAAAGTAAAATTGGTGAGTTTCTTGCAATTGCCCGGCTCAATTCAGAGATCTAAATGAAGCCAAGTGTGGTGTTAGACTGGAAAGTGCTTGGATGGGCCATCATGAAAGAATCTCAACAGAACTAAACCTTTGAAATAGTCATTCGTAATTTAATTACAGTTTAACCTCAGTTTAACGAAGTCACCTAGACCCGATAATTATTTCGTTATATCGGGAACTTCGTAAAATCGAGGAAGGAAGACCTCGCGCATAGGCTCCTCGGGGAATCCGAATTTTTTCGTTAAATCGCGAAATTCGTAAAATCGGGTTTTGTTAAATTGAGTTTCAATTGTACTAATTCTAAAACAATGCAAATTGAGAAATATTGCTTTGTTCTCAAGTGCATTTTCCGATCGGGGTCATGACGGGATAACCCAAATCTTTGGAATCTGCGGTTTGCGTTAAGGCATTTAGCAAAATTCGACAAATTTGGACTTGCGAAGTGTTGCCAGTCTTCTGCACAAAAAATTTAAATTGTTAAAATGATAATATAATTTAGAAAGTAGTTTATTTTACATTTTATTAAATGATACCAATTTTTACACAATATACATAGGTTGTATGTGACGTCATTCAAAGAGCGCTCCGATGACCACCAGAGAAGAGTGGAAAAGGGAGGTTCCCTCTTATCAGGATCCTCTTTTGTGCCTCCCGGATTTGCACAGATGTCGCTATTCTCCCCCCAGAAGATTATAGAAGATTAACCCGTCACTCAAAATTTTTACAAGAGCAGCTTCACTCACCACCTCTTGCATGGTGGTCAAAAGTATGCGATGTGACGTCAGTCCAACCCATGTATAGAAACAGACATATGTGCTTTAGTTTACTAATGTGAAACAGTATAACCATCAAATATTGCACCCGTCCACAGGGGGTGCAAAATCAGCTCCTTTTCAATATCCGCACATGCACATAATAGTCAATCTTCAGTCAAACTTTTCGAAGTCTGGCTGAGATTAGTGCCAAATAATGCAAGAATGCTGTCAATGCATGTAATTGCTTTGTGTGTTATAGTACTGATGCTATGTAGATCACCCCTACCGTGGGGTTTTCCTTTGCAGAGGTTAGCATTAGGCTTGAAGAACTACAGGGTGGTTGTTAAATCCCTTTTAAATGCCGGACGTGGTCAACACTTGTACTACTTTGGTGTCACAAAACATGTTTATTATTTTTCTTCTAGAATGTCTTGGCGTAGTCTAAATATGGGGTCTACAGCTCATAATTTCATTAGTGGTAAAAGTATCTATGTAAGAAAACACTCAAATTTTTTTTATCTTGCTTGTTTTATTGTTTGTGACAGAAACTAACTTGGAAACTGCAAGCGTGGTTACTCTTTGTTAATGCCTTTTTTTTTAACAATATTTTAATGATGTGGTTGTGTGGCTTAACTTTCGTTGTGCATATGTGCCACTCCTCTCCCTGGCGAGGTGCGCCCATACCTGTTAGCAGTACGAGGAGCAGACGACGGGAGAGGCTGGTGCGCTTTTCGTACTTGCCTTCCGCTTCGGAATGTTATGTACCGAATGCAAAAGGGCAGGGCATCAGGTACTGTTGTGTAATCAAATGCCTCTGCATCGTATTAAACAATAAGGTAAATATGTGTTTCCCAAAAAGTTTTATTCCGTTCCTGGGAGGTGATTCCAGAAAGATCCCCAAAAGCATGAGTCACCAGCTGTGCGGAGGACAAGGTTAATTATTGTTTCTCCATCTTGTCGCATGACTCAATAGTGCAGCTATGTTTGTTTGTCACTTTAATAGAGGCATTTCACAGATCACACGCAAGAGCATGCAGCAGTTTTGTTTTGCTTGTGGGAGGCGTCACTAAGCTCATGCCTGTAGGGCCCATGATTGGCAGCTGACGTTCTACGGTAAGTTCCTAATGTAGTAGCTATGATGTCGCCCCGTGGCTGTTGACAAAAGACACCCGAATATGAAGTTACCATTTTATAAAAAAAGCTTTAAAGGCCCTATAACCCTGGAGCTAGGGGACAAAAAGGGACGGACACACATGGTTGCGACTGAGTGAAACAAGACCGGATGTGGAGCTAGTCATAAGCCGTCTAGAAAGGCTTAAAAATATATGAAAGCATTGAAACTATGCCTGGACATTACTTGAGAACTCGGTATTTGTGAAGTAAAAAAAAAAAAAAAAAAAAAAAACGATTTTCAAAAAACGAATTTGAAGTTCCCGCGCGATCCGCACCAGTCCACCGACGTCAGATTGCGCCGTCTTGCAACTCGGGTTTTCTGGCACCTCCGAAGTGTGCCGCCCGCATCCTCCGATTGATAGCTCTTGCGTGCCGAGCAAACCGGCCGTGTCGCGGCGGTCGCCTATTGTTCGCCGCGACCTGGCGGTAGCCGCCGCAGAAGCATCGGGCAGCAATGGCGACGAACAGCACGGCGGACAGTGTCCCCGTCGTGATTACGACGAATTTTAAGGCAGTTACGAGTTCGGAAAGTTCCTTCGGAAGCCGGTGCCACCGGCTCAGAATCATCGCGAAGTAATAGCAACGAACAGCACAGAGGACAGTGGGCGACTAAGAATCTGGAAAGCTTCTTCGGTAGCCGGTACAAAATCATCGGGGGGAAGCAGTGGCGATTAGCAGCACAGCGGACAGTGTTCCCGGGGTGATTACGACGGGGTTTAAGGCGGTTACGAATCCAGAAAGCTTCTTCCGTGGTGCCAATATGACGAAGAGAAAACTGTTTCATGAATCTGGCCGCATGTGCGGCGTGAAGGAGGTCCGTTTCGACGGACAAGTGGATGTCACGGAGCGCCGTACTCTGCAAACAAAATTAAAAGCGCGCCCGCAAAAATTTTTTGTTGGCGTTGAGTGGACTGCGGTAATTATGTACGTTTATTTCTGAATCAGCTTGACAATAACTGGGCGATTTTTTTTCGCGCCGTTCCGCGATTCTCTTTACTATCTTCCTGTAGGCTGATGGAAACATCCAACGGTAGGCTTAGGAGGGCGACCGCATTCCGCTTCTCGATTCCGGTGAAGTATTTGCTGCATACTTTAGAGTTTGCCGTCGGTGTCGATGCTGTTTCATCGTCGCTAGAAGAGAAAAAGAAGTTAACTGTATTATTCGTCAGCAGCTTAAACAAAGCGCGAACTGGAAGGTAAGAAACACCACTAACCTGTATGGACGCACAAGTCGTACCCTGGTCGCGCAGTACTCCGCCTCGTACGGCTTCGAAGGGACGATGTAGTACTTCGTCCCGTGCGCGATCTTGCCGACCACGCAGCAATTGTTGCGGCTTTCTTGGTGCGGAATAGCCATCTCAGAAATTACAGCGCTAATCCACTACAACGCACAACCAACGCAGCGACTGGCAGAAGATGCCCGATGCAACGGACCCGTTTGCTGCTAGGGGCGCCCTGGTCGGGGCTTGAATTAGATCCGCACGGTTCCTGTGAGCAGGAGCAGGCAGGAGTGTTGCGGAGTTGGAATAATTCCAGAATCATTTCGCATTTTCGCGACCCCGGAATGGAATGGGAATAGAATGGCGGCAACACTGGGGGAATAGAATTAGCTGCCTTTTGCCCGGGAATAAAATGAAAATGTAATAAACCAGTTTTTTTTTTTTTTTTTTTTTTTTTTTTTTTTTTGGGGGGGGGGGGGGGGTTATTAAATTGCGCGAGTCAGTTGCTCAGAAATAAAAGGAGCAGGAAACTGCTAGCCCGCGCAAAGTTCCAACAAACTTGTACATGAAAAAAAAAAAAGCAATACAAAACATAAGCGTTAAAGAGCATTGGGAGAAGGAGAGGGTGGCGTTGTTCACGGACACGCAGGTGACGGGCTTCACTGGCGTAGCCTGAGGGCGAAACAAGAAACCAAGCAAAAGAAACGAAGGGAGCGGCAAAGAAGCCACCATGCACGGCTCCTCGTCGTCCTTGTTGTCTTGATTTTTTTTGTGTGTGTGTGTGTGTGTGTGTGTGGCTATGCTCCAAATTTTACCCGAGTAACCTGCCTCCTACATCAGAGGGTAATACCACGTGACATCGCGAGTAAATGATCCGCGACTCGATTTTGGAACGGCCGGGATAATAACCTGGATACTACGCGGATTGGCTTCGTCTTGAGCTAGGGCAAAAAGAAAACACAGCAGCGGTGACAGAAAATAGCAGACGATCCTTTTGATCATAATTAAAGAAAGCACTCGAAGAGACAATAATATTAATGACGACGCGTTTTTTTTTTTTTTTTTTTCGGTTGATCCATTGGCTTTTTTTACTCACCTTCCTTTTGAGCTGTATATTGAGATAAAAATTACTCCTTACAGTTAGATATATCAAAAGATGTGTTTTTATTAATCAGCGCGATCTCCTTAAATGCATATATTCCACGAACTGTAATTTGCACCGATTATGTTTCGCAGAAATTGATTTCGCACGGTGTAGTGGTACAGCACGAGGGTGCTTTCTCAAAAATGACATGAAACTGACGTTCGCTTTGACGCGAATATGATTACAATAAAATCACCGAAGTCTTCACAGCTTTACAAGCGTTATCCTCTCATTACACACACTCTGGAGGAAACAAAAATACTACCTTATCATTTACTGCGTTCAAACATTTTCAGCCTTGGACGTGAGAATACGGCATTCCCTCCAACGCCCAGGACCAGAATGCGGAGAAGCTCCTGTGTACGCTCGCACTCTGATAATAACAAGTATAACTTCCCGGGGAAGGTGCACGGTCTGGATGTAATGCAGTGAATTCGTGCGTTGAAAACAGCAAATCGCAATAACCACACATGCTGCACCCATTCATTGTCATTTCGAAGGTCCGGCACCAAAACCAACGGAGCAAGCGAGCTTTGACGGCTGTCGGCGCAGAAAGCAGACGACGAGCAGATCACGTGACGTATTTACTCGATTTGATCCGACGTTACCCCCCGATCGAGGAGGGTAGCGTGAGTAATTACTCCGGAGTAAACAACCCGCTTCTGGAACGCGAGTTCTGATGTCATCGAGTAAGCTCGAGTAAGTTTTGGAACGCCACGGTACGAAAACTTTACTCCGGAGTCGGATCGAGTAAATTTTGGAACACAGCCTGGTGTGGCGCTGTGTCGACGGCATGGGGAATGCACGCGCGCACCGTCAGATCTGGGAGCGGAAGCGACTCATGACTCGCAGAGCTCTGATAACTCGTTGACTCGCGCGTGCGACCGAGTTAGGACCAGCTCCCAGGGGGGGGGGGGGGGGGAAGGAGGGAAAGGGAACGCGGCGCAAAGCGGAGGCTGCCATATTAAAACCGCTTACGTTGCCAGCATAGGTTTTGCAGCGGGGAAGTTGCTGCCACATACGGCGGACTGAGCTTTACTTTCTTTTTCGTTTTGGAACGAGAATGTATTGTTGTGTTACATAAGTCCTCCCGCATACAGACAACGAAGTTGAATTATATTTGTCTTGTTTACTTGGTTTGGAACCCTAGAAACGGGTTTTTGACGACTTATTGCTTTCATCATTTTGGAGTACGCAAGGCAGTTATCTCGCTGTTCTGGTTTCGGTTACGAAAGCAAGGCAAAACGCTCGTAGTTCCCGCCCTCAATACACGTTGGACACATTCCACACTTTGACACCGGATAACTGTATGAACAAGGATTTGCATTTACTTCAGGGGTAACTTTCGCCGCTCCCTCACCGTCGAGCAGCCGGATCAGCTGGCGGCAAGCCGCGGAAGAAAGGCTTGAGCATCAACAGCCTAGAGCCACTACAACAGCCCAAGTGCACTCAGTGCTGATGCGGGCGACGCGGGCTTCTGTCAGCCCAGCGGCAGACCCAAGAGAAGGGAGACGGGGACGGCCGCCCGCCCCCCCCCCTGCCCCCTTCTCGGAGGACGATTTGACATGGGTGGATCCCCCGAAATAACACCAGCTATCGGCCTGCCAGGTGGTAGGTGGCTTAATACTCAAGGACGAGGGTTCGAAATAGGGTAGGCCGCACCCTAGCAGGCACACTTGTACTCTGAACTTGGAAAACCACTCCGTCGCTTCAACCGAGACTGAAGTCCGCGGCGGCGGTTTCAAAGCACGGCTTAGAACCAAAAATCCGCGCAGCGGCGCACATCTAGGGGCCGTCGGTGCACTGTGGTTCTGCGGCGGTTAAAACAAAAGGCGCAACCCGAGTCCTGTCTATCTTGCTTTAGAATTTAACTCCCCCCCCCCCCCCCCCAAAGAAAAAAAAAAGAAACGGAGTTCTGGATCCGCCTTTGGGTCAACCGGTAGCTCAGCACAATCCGTGAACGTTCCAGCTCTTCGCCATGACACGGTGTTGCAGAAAGCAGGGTAAAATACAACTACACGGACCACCGAATCAAATGCACTGTTATCGTAAATATTGGCTTGTGATTGCGCCTTTGTAGATCATCTTATTCGTTTTGCTGGAGAGACGCAACCGACGGGCGTAACAAAATCGTTTGTGTATTCCGCATACCTCGCAAAAGTACTTACCCAGTCACCTTGCGAAAAGCGCGAAACACGGAGTCCGCACCGCCCCGACTTAGCAGTCTTTTACCTGCTTTAGAGCAGTTTGTACCTGCTAGTAGGCATGTCTACTGAAACTGCAGCTTGAAACTAGGGGCAATGC